CGCCACCGCTGCCACACGTCCCGGCCCCTCAGTCACCACCGCCGCCGTCGGGACTCGCCGGGAGCCGCTCCTGCGCCTGCGCAGCCTGGAGCGCCGGGGCCCTCTCGGGCCGTCCGCGCCTGCGCAGCCCGCACCGGGGGCGTCTGCCTCAGTGCCTGATGCCCTGGACCCCTGGGTCTCAGGTGGATATGGCCGCTGGCTTCGAGGACTTAGCGTAGAGACTGGTGGCTGCCCCAGGGTCTCAGGCTTCTGGAAGGTAGCGTGGGTTACTAAACGCGGTGCCCATAGGGGCCGCAGACTTAATCGTACTTCCAGGATTCTGGATCCCGCTTGCACTTAAAGGATTAAATGCTCTGAGATGACCGCTGATAATAAGTTTAGGTTTCTTTCAAGAATACGATCACATCTAAAATGCATTGAGGGGTAACTGTGTAAGAGGTAACTTTGACATCCCTGAATACTCAAGTGCTCAGAAGCCCTGGGGACTTTGTCAGGGAGCTGACTACACCTCGAATGCACAGGGACACGGCTAAATTCTGTCTGTTTATCAAGCACACACAGTTTATGGGATGAAAACGCTCCGGGCATCTCATATGTGCCATCAAGGGGCTTATCAGGTTAGTAGTTCCCTACTTTCCAACCCTTATTGTGGAGCCTGACTCTTGCAAATTGGTAAAAACTAGGCGTTTAGCCCAAGGAAAATCAGCTATCAGCCCCTTGACCACCACTTAGACCCTTGCCTTAGCATAACCCAACAAGAGACTAGGCTCAATTCGGTCCCAGGAATTCAACAATGCAAACTTTTTTTTTTTTTTTTTTTGCCATATCTCATGGCTTGTGGGATCTTACTTCCCCAATCAGGGATGGCACCCGGATCCTGGGCAGTGAAAGTGGGGAGTCCTAACCACTGGGCATCCAGGGAATTCCCCTCAACAATACAAACTTGAAAGCTGCAGCCAATGCACTGCAGTCAGAGGGAAGAGCCGATACAGGACTAAACTCTCCTTATCACCATGACGCTTCCTTCCTCCTCTAGTCCGGTCTCCTCTCTACAATTCAGAGTCTGGAGGGATGGAGACCAAGAGTTATTACTTGCAAAAGTATTATCCTTTGGAATGAGAGCACATTTGGCACCAGAGGGGAATTGCAGAGCCAAAAAGGAAGAAGAATTAATATCGACACTATGTCCTGATGAATGGATGACTAAAAAGAAAGCCATAGCTGACACTGAAACTTCTGGGAACTGTGCCCTCTTAACTCCCCACCACATGCAGTCCCAGGGAAGGCCTGCTGCAATCTATATGGAGATGGCATATCTTCTTATATTTGAACTGTAAGGATCTCTGGAACCATTTCCCTATTTAAATTTCTTGTTCAGGGCAGAACTGTGATTTGTTTTTTGTCTGCCAAGCATTCACTCACTATATCTCATGATAATCATTCAAAGAATCACCCCTACTCCATTTTCAGACCATGTGGATGAGCACATAAGCTAGATCCCAAGTCATTCAGCTCATAACATTCCTTAAGTTAGAATGGTTGTTTCATGGATGGGCAGGTAACCCAGTCAGAGTAAAATATGCACAGTTCCTTCTGGGAAAGTCTGTTGCCCCTTTCCCACTAACACTGGATATAAGGAGATGTATAATAATATCTGATACTGCTGCAACTGTGTTGACACCACCAAGGGACCACCAATCCAAAGAAAGATATAATTTATTCACTCACTGAACAATGTGCCAGCCACTGTTCCAGGTGCAGGAGACAAAGTAGTGACATATACATATATATACACAAATTATATATATTCTTTGCTCTCATAGAACTTATAGTCTAGTAGAGGATATATAATAATAGGAGCAGGCACACAGCATTTACAACGTGCCTAGCACTGTTCTAAGTAAGCACTTTACACATATGTGTGTGTGAAAGTTGCTCAGTCATGTCTGACTCTTTGCGACCCCATGGACTGTAGCCCGTCAGGCTCCTCTGTCCATAGAATTCTTCAGGCAAGAATACTGGAGTGGGTAGCCATTCCCTCGTCCAGGAGATCTTTCTGACCTAGGGATCAAACTCAGGTTGTCATTGCAGGCAGATTCTTTACCGTCTGAGGCACCAGAAAAGCCCACTTTACACATATAAGTACTCTTAATTTTAACAACCCTCTTTTATAACATAACAGTAATCATTATGCCTGTTTTATAGATGAGGAAACTGCAGTAAAGAGAAGTTACTTGCCCTGGGCCACACAGTAAATAATGGGGCTGAGAACCAGAGCCAGGCTGTCTGGCTCAATTATCTGTGTGCTCAATCAGTGTATTGTTAACTGCTTTGTCATAGGAGGATAAAGGATCCTATAAGAAAATGTAAACTGTCATGGAAGGAACAGCCTATGGAAAGACCTAGAAGTGAGAGAGAATACCATGCAACTGGGGGACTAAAAAAAATTCAGTTATGCTCAAAAAGAAGAGGAAAAGAGATGAGACTGGCAAAGTAAGCTGGAGCCACATTAACTGGTTTACACTTTATCATGAAGGCAATGAAGCAAGGAAGTTATTTGGTTAGATTGGGGCCATCAGGAGATAGGTAAGACCCTGAAGAGCCCTGAGCAGTCTCTTATAGCATTCCAGACACTGCAACAAAATCATTGCAGGAGTGGTAAAGTGTGAAGAAAAGCCTGTCTGAGAAAGTGACATTTTAGCTGAGACCTGAATGGGGAGCAGAAGCCAAATCTAAAACATGGGAGGCAGGATCAGCAGGTATAAAGGCCCTGAGGCAGAAATGAGCTTGGTAATATCAACAGATGGAAAGAAAGTTAGTTTGCCTGATGCCTTGGGAGTAGAGTAAGAAGAGCTAGAAGCATGCAAGGATTTGGACTTATCTGGCTGTAACTGGAATCCCTAAGAAGGTTTTAAGCTCCATCTCCCTCAAATTCTATCTCCTTAGATCTCTGGAATCCATCTGCTTCTCTCCACCATCTTCACTGCACTATTTTAGTGAGAAGGATAAAATGTCACCTATTAGAAAAGGACTTTGAGGGTCAGGAAAGGTTTTTTTTTTTTAACTTATTTCCTCTAACTTTTTATGTTATTCCTGAGATTCTTCCAGTGTTATCTGTTGCCATCACTGTGGTACTTAGTATGTGTTCCTTGGGTGATTTTACATTTACGTAGTTAAGTTCTTCAACTACTGTTTAACCTGAAATTCCCCTTCATTTTAATTGCAGTTGAAATGGTATTTCACCTAACTGTTCATGAAAGACTATTTCTATTTTTCTGATTGTTGGCTGTCTCGTATTTAGTAGCATCTTGTTTTTTGGACACCCATATGCCCAAAGAACATCCTGAATATCATGTTCCAAAAAGTCCATTTCTTCTACAAACAGAAAAGGCAGCCTGATAGCTGGAGCCTGACACCATTTGCAAATCATCAGTGCATTTGGCTGCCCAAGGCTCTGTCAGCCTGTGTCACTTAGAGCTTATCGAACACTCAGCCTTCATTCCCACAACAGCAGTCTGGCCAGTTGGTTCTTACCATCCTCCAACAATTCTCCACTCTCTGTCCTATATCATCAATTTCTTCCTCTTTACTAGGTCGCTACCATAAGCAAACAAAAACCTCCCATCTTAAAAAGTAAATCCTCTCTTAACTCCACTCCTCTTTCCCTCTCTTCTGTTACCACTCTCTCTTGCTCTGCTCCTCTGGGAAGCTTCCCCTGTGCTAAATCACTTCAGTTGTGTCTGACTCTGCGACTCCATGGACTGTAGCCTGCCAGGCTCCTCTGTTTATGGGATTCTCTAGGCAAGAATCATGGGGTAGGTCACCATGCCCTCTGCTGGGGATCTTCCTGATCCAGGGATTGAACCCAAGTCTTTCATATCTTCTGCATTGGCAGGCAAGTTCTTTACTACTAGCACCACCTGGGAAGGTCTGTCTACCTTCAATTCCTCTCCCCTCACTCTCTCTTAAATCCACTCAGTTTAGCCTTTCACGCAAACCATCCCACTGAAACTGGCTCTGTCAGGTCACAGGTCGGGTATCTCTCTATATCTCTTTCTCTCTCACACACACACACAAAGCCCCCAGGATACAAGTCCCGTGCTGGAGATTTTTGTCCATTTTGCTCCTTGTTGTATCCTCAGCACCTCCAATCCTCGCGACATTTCTCTCTCAATTCCAAAAATCTGACTGAGGCATCAAAGGATGAAGAGTGGGCTTAGGGCCACAAATCAGCCAAAGTATATCTGGATCCTCAGGAAGCTAAGACAATCCCGGAGATCCTAGGTGACTAAGCAGCTTCTTCTCCCTTTGCAGACCCTCCGGTTTTTCTCCAGAAAGGAATGGCCTCAGAGAGGAGGTAGTAGCCGAGGTTTATAGGAGGGAAATACAGGTTTGCTGCTCATCGGGACCACAGACCCAAGGACCACTCCTCACAGGAGGCTCCCATAAAGCTAAGGCACAGATTGCCGGAGGATTGACACTAGGCCAAACCAGAGGGCCACTAGGCGGGGGTCCTGAAAGCCTCTGGCTGGAGAGGACTAAAAAGGACCTCAACGGGAGCGGTACAAGGTCCCACGCCCCCGGATCATCCCTCCTACGCTGCTCGAGGTTCTTCTGCTGACAGAAGTCGGACGCTAAGAGAAAGATTTTGCCGCTCGGCCTCGTGGGAAATGTAGTCTTTCATGAGTCAGGGCTAGAAAGGCCTTCTACAAAACTTTGGCAGGAGAAGAATAAAACACGGTGAGTATCGGAGTCCAAAACGATTGTGATGCTCACACAAACTCTAAATACACTTTCCCCCGTTTTCTTTTTTTTTTTTCCCCCGTTTTCTTAGTCTCGGGCCGTCTCCAGAGAGGATCCAACCCCAGCCCACCTCCAACGTCCCATACTCCTCCGCTCTGTTTGGGCCGATCTAGCTCTCTCCCGCTCGCTCGCCTCTCCGCCGCTCTGTCCAATCGTAGGTGCGTTCCCAGCAGTTCCCGGAGTGCCTTGCGTCTGCCATGGCTGCCTCCAGCTGGCGCGGGGCTGTGCTCCTCCGAACCGTGTCGGGGCTCTGGCAGCCAGGTCCTGATGCCGCAAGGGAATGGATGATCCGGCTCCCCTCTCTCTTGGGCTGTCAGCGGAGGTGCGTTTCCTGTGTAGCGGGCCCGGCCTTCTCTGGTCCCCGCCTGGCTTCGGCTTCACGCCCTAATGGCCAGAACTCAGCCCTGGATTGCTTTCTCGGACTCTCTCAGCCAGACAACTCGTTGCCTTTTCGCGTCCCCGCCGTGTCGGTGCACAGAGGTAAAGAACGCAGATAGATTTGTCCGCGACTGTCACGGCTTTAGCACAGCAAGTCCCGTGTTAGGAAGACCCCTCAGCCTCTGGGGCTATCATCTTTGGCTCTGTATTGTAGAAAACGATCTTGAGGACCCGAGAGATAGAGGCGAGCAGTGAGGGATCTCACAGGAAAGAGATACTAGGTTCTAAGAGGTTTTCGAGCTAGAAGGAACCGATCTAGTCCCAACCAGCGACGCCCACAAAGAGCAGGAAATTGAAGGGCCACAGGCATGGCAGAGTTGTGGCTCTCTCTCCCAACATGGGGTGCAAACTCGACCCCAAAGTGTCCCATCTACTTATCAAGACACGGAGTTACAGTTGGTCCTTGAACAACTGGGGACAGAGATATTAAAGATGCTGAACCCGCGCAATCGAAAGTCCTTGTATAATGTATTATTGGCCCTCCATATATGCAGTTCCTTACATACCCATAATTCCAGATCCAAGGATTCAACCAAGTGCAGAAACCAACATTTAATGGGGGGTGGGGGGGGGCGGGATCCTGTGTGTAAGTAGTGGACTAGCCCAGTTCAAACCCATGTTGTTTAAGGGTCAGCTATAAATAGCACTCTCTATTCTTAAAGTAGCATAGACTAGAGGCTGAACACAAAAACTGGTCATTGCGATGCAGAGTCATAGGAGCGAATACCGAAAGACTAAAAGCTTGCAGAGCTTTCATCGTACCCTTAGTAGGGTGAGACAGCTGAGGGAGTTTCTGGCTTTATCTGGTATGGTGATACTTTCACACATGTGCATACATTTACTGGGCACAGCTACACAATATGATTCCACAAGGTTATTGAGTGCCAGGCGTTGTGCTGAGATGTTTTACACAACTGTCAGTTGTCAAAAGAAGGTTATACATTAATTAAGTACCATTGATATCATTTCTGTTTTACATATGACAAAAGGAGAAAATTTGATAAAGGCATATAAACAAACTAATAGGCAAACAAAATCTCAAAGCCAGGTCTCGACTTCAACCTGGCGCACTAATCTCTTATCCATACTCTTTTTGTGGACAGGTAGGGCTGTGTACCTGATGGGGGATCCAGATTGCACTGCCTCTCAATCCCCTCCTGTCCCCTCATGCAGATGAGCAAGATCTCCTCTTGATCCACCGCCCCGACATGCCTGAGAACCCCCGAGTCCTACGAGTGGTCCTCCTGGGTGCCCCAAATGCAGGGAAGTCTACACTCTCCAACCAGCTGCTGGGCCGAAAAGTACGCTGCATCCTTGACCCTTCCCCCTCCCCTTTTCATTTCTCACGTCTTATTGTGCCTTTGTGGATTGTTCCACAGGGATCCAGGACCTCACTTGGGATTTTTTTCTTCCTGGCAGGTGTTCCCTGTCTCTAGGAAAGTGCACACCACTCGCAGTCAAGCTCTGGGGGTCATCACAGAGAAAGAGACCCAGGTGGTGGGTACTTGAAATGGATGTCCAGCCAACAGGACAGAGGGTGAAGCCAAGACAGTCTCCCTTAACAATTGGACCCTTCAAAAATGATTTTTAGATTCACTTTTCTTAGGGAAGGGGGCACTTCTTCCTTTAGACCTGGAGCAATTCTCTCTCTTGCCTTACCCCTCTGGTATCTAGTCACAGAGGTCTCATTGCCTCTTTACTGCTTCCTAATATTCCATATATTCACAGTTGTCCTCCTCCTCCTAGATCCTGTGTATTGACAGTAGTAAAACAGCTGGAGGATAAAAATCTAAAGTCAGCTCAGACGAGAAGTGGGGGCAGGCTCCTGACATCAAGGGTGGGTGGTTTTTCACTCCCCAGTCATAATCTTTCCTCCTGGGATTGGGGACCTGGGCATCTCTTTCCTGATTTTAGATTCTACTTGACACACCTGGCCTCATCAGCCCTGCTAAACAGAAAAGGTAACAGCTGGGGGAACAGGGAGTCATTGGGGGGAAAGGTGTTGAAGAGAGAGTGGGGAGATTCCATCCTAGGGGCTGGGAAACCCCCTTGTCACACCCCACCCCTCCTCAGGAATGCATCACTCACCAGACCCTTCCTGACCTATGTGTCTCTGTCCCTTAGACACCATCTGGAGCTCTCTTTGTTGGAAGATCCGTGGAAGAGCATGGAATCGGCTGACCTGGGTTAGGCTCAGGCTAGGAATCTGAGACCCAGTTTACATGATCATGGCCTGTCTTCCTGGTAGCTTGGGGGGTTGGGGGTTGGCCAGATCCCATACCCGGGAAGTTTTTTTTGGGGGGTGGGGGAAAGGGTGATCATAACCTTGTCCTCCTCCATACACTGCCGACTTCCAGTTGTGGTACTTGTGGATGTCTCAGACAAGTGGACTCGGAACCAGCTCAGTCCCCAGCTGCTCCGGTGCTTGACCCAGTTTTCCCAAGTCCCCAGCATCCTTGTCATGAACAAGGTGAGCCCCACCTACCTGAGGAAGGGGTCTGCTTCAAGGCCCCCATCTCACCTACTACAGTCTTCTGCCCATCGCCCACCCCCAGGTTGATTGCCTGAAGCAGAAGTCCGTTCTCCTAGAGCTCACAGCCGCCCTCACTGAAGGTGTAGTCAATGGCAAGAAGCTCAAAACAAGGCAGGCCTTGCGCTCACAGCCGGGCCCCCATCGCCCTAACCCAGCAGCTCAGGGCCCAGATGTGCAGCCTGCGAGAGACCCTCAGCGGATGGGCTGGCCCCACTTCCAGGAGATCTTCATGTTGTCAGCCCTAAGCCAGGAGGATGTAAAAACACTGAAGGTCAGTTAGCCTGGCTCTTGGTGTCCACCAGGTGAAGACAAGCCTCAGAGTTCCTCCTGGAAGTAAGAGTGAGAGGGAAGTCCCACTTGGGACTGATATGCTGACCTCTTCCCTCTCTGCCCATAGCAATACCTCCTGGCACAGGCCCAGCCAGGGCCCTGGGAGTTCCACAGTGAGGTGCTCACCAGCCAGACACCTGAGGAGATCTGTGCCAACATGATCAGAGAGAAGCTCCTGGAGTACCTGCCCAAGGAGGTGCCCTACAACATACAGCAGGTGTGGGCACAGTGAGGGGTCCAGGGGCTCCACCTGGAGCAGGACAGCTAGGTCCTCAAGAGCAGGGCTAGGGGACCTGCTGACCAGTCACGATGTCTCCCTGTGCAGAAAACAGAAGTCTGGGATGAAGGGCCAAGCGGGGAGCTGGTGATCGAGCAGAAGCTTCTGGTGCCCAAAGAATCTCACATGGTGAGCAGGGCTGGGCTTGGAGGAGGGACCAGGACTGTTAGGCAGGGGTTCTTCCAGACTGCCTGACAGCCAGCTCACGGCCCTCTCTTTTACCCCACCCTCAGAAGATCCTGATTGGTCCAAAGGGGTACCTGATCGCTCAGATCGCACAGGAGGTGGGCCGTGACCTCATGAACATTTTCCTCTGTGAAGTTCAGCTCCGGCTGTCTGTGAAACTCCTCAAGTGACCACCCTCCGCTGTCTTTTCCAAGGCGTCCCTGCCCAAGCTGCTGGCAGGAGCCACTAACCAGAACTGCCTGCAGGGCCTGGGGTCAGGCATGGACGCCGACAGGCTGACCAACTCCTGGCTGGCCTGGCCAAGTCTGCACCACATCTGCCGAGTCATGCCTTCTGCTGGAGAAAGGAACCTGCCTTAGCTGGGTTCCCAGGTGGTTCCTCTGCCTGGGGCTATAGCTACTTGGGTCTTAGAAGCTGGCCCTTTGGTGCAGAGCACTGCTTCCCACTGGTTTTGGGCCCAGAGTCTCTGTGTTGCCAGTTGTCGGCAAAGAGGAGAACTTTCCCCTCTCCGCTCAGTTCGTCCACCTCACAGCTGTGTAAGGACCCATGTGTCCTGAGTGAGAGAGTGCCGCCCATCTGCTCCTCAGGTCCTTGATCCCTCCCACCCCACCCCATCTCCAGTCTGAAATGCGAATAAAGTTCAAAGACAGACATTCTTTTTCTCATCTTTATTTCTTTAGAACGGGAAAGAGAAAACTCACCCATTGCCTCACCCCCACCCCGTGGTCTGAGCTGGAGCCTCCCTCCCTTTGGTAATCTGCTCCAGGGATCCGAGCAATCTTCTTGGCACGTTTTCTGGGTGCAGCAAGAGAACCGTTACCATTACTAAACTCAGTAATGGTAACGGTTTCCTCGCCATCCCCAAGTGCCCTGGCGGTCGGCAGGCTGTGATAGGCTGAGCAGTGAGCATGGTGGGCTTACAGCAACCCCTGGCCTCCTCCGCTGGCTCCAGAGCTGGGAGCACCCGGACTAGTACATCATCTATACTGTAGTGTCTCATCGCAAACTTACAGTATATGATGATATCCCAGTCAGGGCCCTGCGGGAGGCGCAGGGAGCATGGCTCAGAGAACACGGGGGCAGAGAGAGCCAGGCACTGGGGGCAGAGCAGGACAGGGCCAGGCTGGACACAGAGCTCCCCACTCCCTGGGAGACATCTTGACTCTGGTCAAGGACACCCTGAAGGGAACTGATCCAAACAGCCCTTCAGAGCTAGGGTCTGTTGAGAACTCCTTAGGGACCCAGCGCTGGTGTGAAACAAGCCAGAGATCACAATGAAGCTGAAGATTCCCTCTGATCAGACCCACAAGCAGACAAAGCCAGAGGAGGAACACTTACCTGGAGCTGAAACTGTAGACCAAGGAGGCCTTTAGAAGTAGGGAGGCCCCTTCCCTGCCTCTCCACACAAGTTGCTCCCTTTTTAATGCACCGGCTGGCCCCTCCCCTTGGGTGGGGTACTTTTCCCGGGCTCTGGAAGGCTCTATCTATTAACCCTTTCCTTTCTAGTCTCCTTGGACTGAGGATCAGTGGCCCTTCTTCCTATTAGGCCGTTTGTCACATATTCTTTTATGGAACTTGTTAAGCCTAGGAGCCACCCTCCACCCTCATCCCCATGAAACTGGTCACCCATCTGTTGGGAGGAGAAAAAAAAACAACCTCACCCCAGCCATCCTTCAGGGCTTAATTACTGATCAGAGCCCTGGGAAAGTAATGGTGGTGGGTTCTGGTGTTAGGAATGTAAAGATTACTCCTGCCAATGCAGAAGACTTAAGAGACAAGGGTTCGATACCTGGGTTGGGAAGATCCCCTGGAGAAGGGAATGGCAACCCACTCCTATATTCTTGCCTGGAGAATTTCAAGGACAGAGGAGCCTGGCAGGCTACAGTCCATGGGATCACAAAGAGGTGAACACGACTGAAGTGACTAAGCATGAGTGTTAGTTTGAATCTCTGTAAGGCAGGGAGGGTCCTGACAGCTGGATCTTGGGGCAAGCTCTCACCTAAATTCCAGTTCCCAGGCCCCTTCTAGAAACCTTCTAGGTTTCTGCTGAGCCTGAGGCCAGAACCCTTGCCAACCTCTGCCGTGGCAAGGTCCTGTAAGTGGAGGGGTCCTCTGCTAGATGTGAGGGCAACTGAATCCCTAGCTCATGTGGGAGCCAGCCTAGGAATGGGTAGGGGCCTGTTTTTCAAAGCTCAGGGCCCCTAGGGTGACAGCCTGGCCATACTGGTTCTCTGCCTCTGGGGAAGCTGAGACTCTTGGGGTAGCAGCTTCTCCAAGCGGGGCCTCTGTGACTTGGACTCCCATGCTGGGGAACACGTGGGCCCCTCTGCTTCCTCTCCTTCCTCCCTCCTAGACCATCTGGTGTGTGTGCTGGGAGGCAGTTGCACCCCTCTGCAGGGGGCAGATGAGGCCAAGATGGGGAATGAGAGGGAGAAACTCAACCTGCTTTTGGTTTCTTGAAGATATTTTACCCCCTGTCACAGAACCTTGGCACATGCTCTTCCCTGTTTGGCACAATCTTCCCTCCTCTCTTGTCTCGTTCACTCCTGTTCTCTCTTTAGATCTTGAAGTGTCATCTCTGCAGGGAAGTTTTCCCTGGCTAAATTCCCCTGTTGCAGGCTGACCTATTTGTGTGGTTATTCACATTAAGCAAATTTTCACAAGGGCCTGCTTTATTCACTGTCTCTCTACCACAATGAAAGTGAAAGTGTTAGTCGCTCAGTTGTGTCTGACTCTTTTCAACCCCATGGACAGAGGACCCCATGGGCAGTCTGTAGCACGCCAGGCTCTCTGTCCCTGGGATTCTCCAGGCAAGATTACTGGAGTGGGTTGCCATATCCTTCTCCATGGATCTTCCCAACCCAGGGATTGAACCCGGGTCTCCCGCATTGCAAGTGGATTCTCTACTGTCTGAGCCACCAAGGAAGCCCCTCTACCACAGAGCAGTGACTAAACAAACCTTCATGTCGAATGACTGATGTCATGTGGGGGAGGGGAGAGATTTTGACCTGAGGAGGCAGACAGACAAAGCTGTGACTCTCTCAGACAAGTCATTTTCTTGGACAATCCCCATTCCGTTTTGTAAAAGGGAATGATAACAGTCCCCAGTTTGCAGAGTCGTGAAAGCTAAGTGATGAACTGCTGGTCAAGCACTCAGCACAGTTCTAGTCCTGGCCCACAGGGGCTTTGCTGTTGTTTAGTTGCTAAGTCATGTCCAACTCTTTTTGACCCCATGGACTGTAGCCCTCCAGGCTCCTCTGTCCATGGAATTCTCCAGGCAAGAATACTGGAGTGGGTTGCCATTTCCTTCTCCAGGAGATCTTCCCATTCCAGGGATCAAACCCCAGTCTCCTGCATTGCAGCCGGATTCTTTACTGCAGAACCACCAGGAAAGCCTTTAAACAAGTTAATTTCCACCTCATGCCCTGCCCCCAGGGGCTCACTGAAGACCGCAGGTGAGTCCTGTTGTTGAACATCTGAAAACTCATCAAATACTCTCGAAAGCAGCTGGAGGCCATTGAGGACGTCCAGGTTTAGAGATAACAGGCCTCAGGTGACAGCCCCGATTCCACTGTTCCAGCTCAGTGACTCTGGATCCAGTGCTCCTCTCTTCAGTTTCCCCATATGTAAGGTGGGCGCTTTCCACGCTGACCTCATGTGGCGGTTACAAGGATTAAGTGAGCGCTCGTGTCAAACTGTACATGGAACAACAGACTGGTTCCAAATCGGGAAAGGAGTACATCAAGGCTGTATATTGTCACTCTGCTTATTTAACTTATATGCAGAGTACATCATGCAAAATGCCAGACTGGATAAAGCACAAGCTGGAATCAAGATTGCCGGGAGAAATATCAATAACCTCAGACATGCAGATGACACCATCTTTATGGAAGAAAGTGAAGAAGAACTAAAGAGCCTCTTGATGAAAGTGAAAGAGGAGAGTGAAAAAGTTGGCTTAAAACTCAACATTCAGAAAACTAAGATCATGGCATCTGGTCCCATCACTCCATGGCAAATAGATGGGGAAACAATGGAAACAGTGACAGAATTTATTTTGGGGGGTTCCCAGATCACTGCAGTTGGTGACTGCAGCTGTGAAATTAAAAGACGCTTGCTCCTTGGAAGAAAAGCTGTGACCAACCTAGACAGCATATTAAAAAGCAGAGACATTATTTTCCCAACAAAAGTCTGTCTAGTCAAGTCGTGGTTTTTCCAGTACTCATGTATGGATGTGAGAGTTGGACCATAAAGAAAGCTGAGCACAGAAGAATTGATGCTTTTAAACTGTGGTGTTGGAAAAGATTATTGAGACAAGTCTCTTGGACTGCAAGGAAATCCAACCAGTCCATCCTAAAGGAAATCAGTCCTGAATATTCATTGGAAGGACTAATGCTGAAGCTGAAACTCCAATACTTTGGCCACATGATGTGAAGAACTGACTCATTGGAAAAGACCCTGATGCTGGGAAAGATTGAAGGCAGGAGGAGAAGGGGATGACAGAGGTTGAGATAGTTGGATGGCATCACGACTCGATGGACATGAGTTTGAGTAAGCTCAGGGGGTTGGTAATGGACAGGGGAAGTCTGGTGTGTTGCCGTCCGTGGAGTCACAAAGAGTCGGACATGACTGAGCGACTGAAATGAACACGTCAAACATCCAGATCGGAGCCCAGCACCCAGGAGCCCCTGTCAACTTTCTTCCCTCCTTCCCCGTTTCACTCGCTTGCTGTGGGACTGCAGGCTAAGTGCCACATTTCTGAACTTTGGCAGTCATATACATCTTACCAAGTTGCAAGAATTAAGTGAGAAGTGTGGGTGAGAAGTCTTCACAGACCCAGGTGCTTTACCCAGTGAGGAATTCCCCTTGTCTACTCCTGCCTTTCTGGACCCTCACTTCCTGGTCCTGTGACCCTACAGATAGTCCAGGCTCCCTTCCCAGAGTCAAGGCTTCAGGCACTAGGGCCAAATTCAGGCCACTCACTGCCTAGGTTTCTATTTAGACCCTGGGGGCCAAGTCCAAGGGTGAGCATGGACAGAACTCAGGGATCCTGGAGGTAGTGGAGAGAGATATCTCCACCAGCCAGAGACCTTGTGACTGCGGCCCTGAGCTGTGGTGGAGGGCGCTGCCATCAGGGTGTGGGCTGGCGGAGAGTCAGCCTGGGTGGGGTAGT